GCGATCATTCATTTCAACATACACTCTTTCCGATTTCTCCATGCCATCTTCGATTTTAACAAATAATCATTTGACTTCCACATGCGACAATTCGTATCCTACATGCGATCACTTGATTCAAACCTGTGGCTATTCGATTTTTACATTTCACTACAGTTTAAAAATTGTTTTGATTTTTTGTCCTCCTTTACTTCTTCACCTTTAACTCTTGGTCTTAATTCGGTGATAAGAGAGAAAATCGAAAACACCTATTCAAATTCAGGTTGCTAATTAAAACATCTGAATTTCTTTAGGATGCTACTCAAATACTTGAATGATTAAACGAATGAGTACTGCTATATTTTTGCATAATGTTTGACTTTAGAGCGGCATTGATGGAGAGTATTGTTTATTCTGTCTAATCAGATGCACTTGAACTATAGCTTATTTGTCTGTAAACTTTTGTTGAACAGTAATATTTGACAATGGATTTTCTCTTGACTAGTATATTTGCATAACAATTAATATCACTAACATATTACTGGAAACATGCATGGTTCCTCATAAGTATTATGTTCTGCAGTAGCCCTGGTTAATAAATTGTAACATTTATACGTATTTTGTTGTATTATTATAACAAATCATTAATGTTTAGTACTTTCTTCACTTTTTATGTGTTCCATGACCTTTGAAAAGTGTGCTATGCAATATTGAGTTTCAACTTAATTAACAAGTTTATTTGCATATTTAATTGATTTTGAATTTTTCTTAATATCTTGTGAACTAATTGTCCGAATGAGATCAAACTTGATATAGACTTACTTGATCTGTCAATATAAGATGTGTGCTATGCAATATTGACTTTCAACTTAATGAATGAGCAAATTTGAATATTTAATTAATTTTGAATTTTTGTTAATATATTGTGAACCAAATAAGTCCAAATAGGACAAAACTTGTTATAGACTTACTTTATCTGTCAATATAGGGTATGTGCCTTGTAATGTTGATTTTCAACTTAATCTTCCTACCCGATTTTATACATATACATTCAAACTTTATAATTCATAGCCAACTATAATCGCATCTGACAAGCGGGGGCTGTGTCATCTTCAGATGACTTGTTTAAAATAAAACGAGTACCTGGACAGCCCACTTCATCTTCGCCCAATGCACAGTCTTCTGTGCCATCACACCTTCTATCAGCTGAAATACAGAAACCAGTCTCATCGTTGCCACATCTAAAGTCTATACCTTCGTCGCATTCAACTATGAATAAACATAAAGATTAACCAATATGTGAAAACATCATTGGAGAGATATTAGAGCCTAAAATATAGATAGAGACATAATATATATAGTATATCTTAATTCAATATTTGCATTTTTATTTTTGGAAGTAAAGAGTTTGTCAAATTGTCATCAAAATTATACAGTTAGGATTAAGTGGTGTCCCAACAAATGTGTTTCTAGAATTTTTGTGTTCAGAATATAACGAACGTATAACGATGTTCTTTAATTTATCACTTTACCTGGTGCATCTCGTGATTTCCATGTTGCATTAAAACCAAAATGTTGTATGCTGCCGTCGCTAGTAAACGTTATATATAGTAGATAGGAATGGGAAATGACCTTGGTTGGAATATTATGCCCACATAGTATGGCCAGTACCGGTCCGGTATCGTCAAGACCTTCATACACAGTCACACTGTCGTAGTTACAGTTTATGGATGCTTCCACACTCATATACCCGAATTCAATTTCCATAGCCTGGAAGAAAATATCGCCAGTTTGACTGAAAGTTTGTACGATCGATTACGTAAACAGCATTGGTAATAAATAAATATGCAGCACTAGGGTCGAATTGATAATTGCATATAAACTAAGAATAGCAAAATAGGTTAAGTTAGCATTTATATTGGCCAGGAAAACACGATATGTAAAGTTTATAAATAATCTTAATATGTGTTCTTATAGTGTTATGGGGCGGACGTGAGTGATTATGCTTTCCAATCATAAACGTGGATGGACTGTAGTCACTCATGTATACAGACGTCAAATATACCATTTCCCCTTCACTGCGAGATCCCGCGTTATGCATGAAATCGGACGTAACCAGGACAAACAAGGATCGTAGTGGCGTCAAAATATTGGGTTGGTTTTGACAAACGCTAATATATTTTTAGGGTATTTTTACACCTAATAATGAGCTGAACATTTGTGGTTTATCAATTTTGATGAAGTAAGGAAATCCTAACGCCATATTGCCATCAGAAATCAAATTATAGAAAAGAAACATCCAAGTTCAAATTCAAACCATGTTTGCATCTTTCTAAAGTTCAACAAGTGAGAGAAAAAAATGCTGAGCAACAACAGGAATGTATAAATGCGCACGTCTTATATTACCCAGGTTGGGCATACTATTATTGAAGCTGATTGACTGCATAATTTCCTTGTCCGATAGCTTTTATTGTATTCCCATCCGTCGTATTTCGTTGTAATCGGTGTATTAAATGATACTTGTTGTGTTCACGTTACACGAAGTACGGGCTAAGATTTAAGCTGATTTAGGCTTATCTAGCATATTTGCATTTCGGCTAGACCCAATTGCGTCCACGCACAGGGAGGGCCAGTCGTTAGCACGGACTAAGGGGCGCCATCAGTCGGTGACCTTTGGCAAGCAGCTATTTATGTACGAAAAATGGATGACACGCGCGAGGTTCTATTTCTGCTGCTGACATGTTTCGTTCTAATTTTGAAGCGACGTGCACAGGAACGCGAGATAAAACGGACCCAACTTATTTGGATGCACAGAAACAGTATACAACGGCGTAACAGAATACAGAGTTTTATTAATGCATGTTGTAGACAGCGAACCAAATTTATTTTGTCCTTGATTGGAGCTGCTGTACGCTCTACTACAGCGACCCGATCAGTGTGGAAGCGTGTACACTGAGCTCGGTTGCCATTTTGGGAATGAGAAAGTTGGATATATTTGATCACGTGCATAATGTTCACACCCAAAGGTCGCTGCAGAGAGCGCTTAGCCCTGGGCTAAGCGTTCGCGCACACTTCGTTAGCCCGTGCTAAGGGTCTAGACCGCGTCTTAAATTCGGATCAGATTTAACCCGTACTTAGCATTCCTTAGCCTGTGCTAAGCGTTCACGCACGTTTGGTTAGCACGGGCTAAGTAATTTGACCTCTTAGCCCGTGCTAAGGAGCTGTGCGTGAACGCAACAACTGTGAGCCATTGTTTATAAACCAATTCGCTTCAAAGTCGATGCCTACTCATAATTCTTTTATAGAGAATAATGACAAAAAAATGTGGTACACTCAACTTTTTTTACACTATTAAACTTTATATGCAATATAATATTAACAGTTTTATGTGTTTTAAGTAAGTTTTGTATAGTTTATTGTCGAAATGCCGATCTTTCAGATGGAATTATGGGTTCAAGATCGAAATTGACCAACAACAAATGTGTATAGAACATTATTGAAATACAATGATAATTTCGAATATATCAAATCCCCCGCAAAGTATTTACGCCACTGGGATTCGATCTAGCAGTGAACGAAAAAGGGTCAACTTCAAAATTCAAAAAAGTTTTGGGGGATTTCTGTTTCCTTCACAGATATAATGCATTGATTACACCTAATGCATAGTGCAATGATAGAAAATATCAATATTTTAGTTCCGAGAACTATTGACTGTGGTTCGTGTAGTTGTGTATACACGACGAAACCTTTGGAGTGCAACTCAAGCGGAAACGTTTTAAGTAATTCTACGTGAATGTATCTCAATAGCACAACCTGTTAAAACGGGAAAACCCTTTGAAGCGTCATTACTTTTTATTAAAATGCTGTTTTCAGCATATCCGTTAAAAATTTGAATGAATTTTAAAGTTGTCTGTGGGTGCACATTCTTCGTAGATGCACGTAGATATAGATTGGCGACCTAATCGGGGTTGGCGACTACTTGTTTGTCAATAATTACCAATATTCTTGTTTACACAAAAATTTAAAGGTTACACCATTGTAATGTCTTGTTTATTAAAACAATAAACAACACACAATTACCATATTCTGTGCTTCTGATGTCTCGAGATTCCATTGACAGAATGCGTTGGCGTCATACCGGCTTTGAGCTGCAGGGTCAAAGTTCATTGACTCGAAGGTACCATTGTAACCTAAATGGTATCGGGGATTTCCACAACCAGAGTCTGAAAAAGATAACAACATTATATATTCACGTTGCATCGATACTAAATAAGGTCAATACAAATAATAGGGAAAGTTGAAAGGGAAAGTGACGCTTAAAACCACATTCTCGAAACTTACTTCTTATAAGTGAATAAAAATTCCTATTTTTACTGTAACAGTTAAATGGTCGTCACGTAGCGCGTGTTCGAATTTCATGTAAACAAGTCATGAATGACACTGCCTTCGCTAGTTGTCATTCTAAAGTTGCATGGACATAAATTGGCAAACATGATTTCTATGGCATTTTCAAGTTTATAGCACTCTCCATCCAGGTCAGCATTATTCTCAGCAAGGAAACCAGATAGCACCAAACCAGTACAACAGGTAAAATGACAAGGAAGTATACAAATCAGATCTGCAAATATGTAGAGTCAGTGTTGTGTCTGTTTGGATAAACTAGTTTGTGGCCCTGGATCAGTTTCAATATCTCTAATAAGGACAAGATTACTTCTCATACGACAATGATACAAATAAAGTGCAAAAATCCAGAAGAATATTATCAAGTTTTTATTATCATACATTAATATTAACAAATCGTGTGAAATTTTATATACAGAGAAAACACATATTTATGCTTTGGTTGACAGAACTTCTCAAAGAAAAAAAAGAGGACCTGCGATACTATATACAATTGTCAGACACGCAGTGAATAGTACTGGTATGTTTTTGTAATACATGTAGTTCCAGTGCCTTTGCTTTCTGAGAAAAAAATCTGGCTCTGCACCTGAAAAAAAAACAAAAAAACATTTAGTCCAAAGTAAGCAGAAGTTGTAGCATATGTGCTCCCATTGGCTGTTAGATTTAATTAAAAAAGATATTTGAGTCTTTTTAGTACGAAAAAATATTACTTAATAAATTTATACCAGCCAGAAAGAAATTGTAGTTCACCCTGTACTATTTTAAACATGTTCTACCAAAGTCTAGGATGAACTAATTCAACAGTTTCCACTCTACAAAGTTGTCAAATTAAAAAAAAACTATTGAGAAAAATACAAAAAAATACATTTAATATAAAAGCAGATAGAAGTGCATAAAAAACTAATCAGCAGAGGTAGTGATCATGTAACTTAAGTGTATGTCAAATTTTCTTTGAACTGGATTGCATTGTCTCAGATTGGCTGCTAATTTGCATATTAATTTGCATACTAATTAACATATTGTAGTTGTATTAAAATATTATATAAAATAATATCCGGAGTTTTGAAAAAAAAAATTAATATTAAGTCAACGTCATTAAAATTGAGGATTACGTGAATTTGACCCCTCCCTAATATTATTTCACATATCCCTTAAAAACATGGCCCCCGTTAAATCCATCTCAATCGAGGTCCGTAATTTATTTTCCTGCTCATAATGGAGATAAATTATGGAAGCTAAACATTGAAATTGCCACCCTGACTTCAGTACCGAAATAAATAGCTGATTGAGAAAATGTGTCTCTGTTGACAGAGGTTCGATTTACCTATAAACTTCCAACACCGCATGGAGCATGGAGGTCCCGGTCACGAGTGCAATAACGCACTCGGGTATCATATTTACTTCAAAGGTA